TGCTATCCTGGTCGTCGTCGACCGCTTCACGAAGCGTGCACGCTTTGTTCCATGCCGCTATGCCATCAGTGCACGTGAGGTCGCCGACATCGTATTTGACCGAGTCGTGCGTGACCACGGCTTACCTCTGAGCATCATATATGACCGTGACCCGCGCTTTACCAGCCGATTCTGGCGACGGCTTCACGAGGTGTACGGCACTCAGCTCCGCTTCTCCTCGTCTTACCATCCTCGGACTGATGGTCAGACCGAGATCACGAACAGGACTCTCGGGGATATTCTCCGAAAGATTGTTCGTGACGACCAGCAATGGGATCTCCATCTTGCCCACGTGGAGATAGCCTACAACCACGCCGTCTCGCCAGCCACGGGGATGTCGCCTTACTATTGCGACCTCGGCTATCACCCGCGTGTTCCCGTGGACTTCCTTCGACCGTCCCAGATGCACCCCGACACGAGTTGTCCCGCACTGGATGATTGGGTTGCGCACATAACGTCGATTATGAAGACCACACATGAGCACATAGCCGCTTCCCAGACTCGCATGGCAGCACGTGCGAACCGATCGAGGATGGATCACCCATTCAAGGTCGGTGATGATGTGCTTATCGACGCCCGCCACTTACAGCTCGAAGCGGACACGCTTCGCAAGTTTTGGCGTCGCTTCTTTGGCCCATGCCGCATCCTCCAGGCCGTCGGTTCTGATACGGTATCTTGCCCGGTCAGCTTTCGTGTGAAGCTGCCCGACTACCTACGCCAGGCTCGTATGCATGATGTCTACCACGTCTCGTTACTGCGTCCTTACCGTTGACCGTCTGAGCGTTTTGTTGGACGACCATACGAGCGCCCTCCACCCATCATGGTGGACGGCCATGAGGAGTTCCTCGTTTCAGACATCATTGGTCGCCGAGTCATCGACGACAACCCTCCCCACATCGAGTATCTCGTACGTTGGAAGGGTTACCCTGATGAGGAGGCTACCTGGGAGCCCCTCTAGCACTTGCAGCACGCTCGCATGTTGGTGCGTGCCTATGACCGTGCTCGTCGTGCTGGGTTCACTGCTCCTCCTCAGCCCACTGACCCTCCTACTTCTCCTCCGGCTGAGGATACCGCTGAAGTTGAACCTGCTCCATCTGAGGCAGACCTTCAGCAGCAGCCGGATGCTTCTGAGCGTCCACAGCGCACTCGTCGTCGTCCTGCTCGATACGACGATTGACTCTGACTTACCTTCCCACGTCTTTGAGTTCTCAGTACTCTATCCACATCAGTTTTGCTACTTCAGCTCGTCGACACTGCGACTCTTCCTCGACGGCATTCCGGACTTCTCATTGTGGACGTCATCGGTAGCTTCATGGACTTCATCACGATCAGCTCTGCCTACTTCAGACGTCGCCACTCTCTTACCACTCTAC